GGGCGCGGGGAGTCTCGTCCCGAGCGGGGAGGCCGCGGTGGGGTGCGGGGCCCCGCTGCCGCCCGGACGCCGCTGGGATCTCCTTCGGGATCTCCTCCGGGGTTTCCTCCGTGGTTCCTGCGGGCCAGGCCGGCTGGATAAGGTAGCAAGAGGGGATTCGGTCGCCGAAGCCTTTTGTGGTGAGTGTGCGGCTCATCTGCCGGAAGGAAATAAGCTTTGTCCAGGAAAAAGCAGTTTACTATTTATCCGTGATGAGTTTGGGGGACATGAGAAGGGAGCTGGAGATAGCCAGGCGGTTTTGTATCAGTACGGGACGGGGGATTAGGCGATGGGAGGCGTAAGGAAATTACTTTTAAAAATGGAGTATACTTGTAGGTGAAACTGAGTTGGTGTTTCAGAGTCCAGTGTGCCTCTGACGTGTTCATTGGATGTTGTGGATTTGTGCGTGTTTAGGGGAGCTTATTCTTCTCTTAGTTACGTGCCTTGCAAGTGCTAGTGATATTTCTAATATGCTATGTCTTGAAATGCTTTTCAGACGAAGGGTACATCGTCATTTGGTAAGCGACGAAATAAGACACACACCTTGTGTCGTCGATGTGGGTCCAAGGCATACCACCTGCAGAAATCTACCTGTGGGAAATGTGGTTACCCTGCTAAGCGTAAGAGAAAGTGTAAGTAACAAACTTTTAACTGACTTGAGTTTAAAAACTGTGTTTCTTTGTCGTCTTCAATAGTCTGATTTTTTTCCAACCAAGGAAGAACACTGTGTCATCTTGCAGTGTTTGGAGCTTTTTTCAAATTAATGCTGATTTAACTGTATTTTGCAGTATTACTAATATGCAGTATTACCACATAGAAATTGACTTAATTCATAATTTTTTTTGCTTCTGTCAGATTGAATAATTGTGCTATACAAATGTAATGTGCAACTTAATTATTTGGTGCAGATGAGTAACAGTAACTTGCATGTTTTAGATAACTGGAGTGCAAAGGCTAAAAGACGCAACACCACTGGTACTGGTCGCATGAGGCACCTGAAAAAGGTCTACCGTCGATTCAGGTATAACATTTTATTACAAACTAGTGTGGTGTGAAATCCTGCATGGATATCACTTAGTTATAAAATTCATCATTCAAAGTTAAAATTTTTATTTATTTAGTACACTTAATGTGGTATGGTCTTTTTTCTTAAATATTCCACGAAATAAATGACACCTTACGTAGTTGGCTGCATGTTCCTTTGAAGATAAAAAACCTCACTCACTGTTAATACATAGGGTGTATAACAAACTCTGATGTTTCTATTAAGTGTAGATAGTACAGAACACGGAGGTTATTGTAATAAAACACCCACATTTAAAAAGATACGTTTTGTGTAATATTGCTTCCATTTGTGAGTCAATTAAATTGTCGGTGCACTGAAGCATGGGTTTTTGTAAGAATCAAGGCTTGAAATGCATTCTAATCCCCTTTTGCCTACAAAAAAAAGTTCAGGACTGGAATAACTTCAGTACTCACTCTCTTATTTGGAGTTCAGTTAGCAGTAAGTAGCTGTAACATCAGATTCTGAGTTACGGGTTTCTGAAACTTGTTACAGAGTTTTAAGTTGTACTTACGAGGTAATGGTGGGGATATTGTACTGTTAAACTCGTTAAGAATTTCTTCTGTGTGACCCCCATGTTCTAAAATGGAGCTCTGTAGCTTCTGGCCTAATGCACAAGAAAGCTGGATGAGAAATACCAAGTAATTCAACAGTTTGGTCATAAAAATGTAGACTGGATTTAGTAGTGAAAAGTAGGAATCTTTTAAGTCCCAGACCTGGGGACTTAATGTTCATCTGTTTGTTTTGGTGAGCACGGTCTTTCCCAGCAACAGCCAGAAAATACCTTAGCAGCTGTAGCCTCCTTTCCACTGAGTGTTGCTGAAGTAGAAATGACATCTCCGAAAGCGAGCTTGGGGCTGACTCTTCTCTTGTGATGCCTGTCTTAATCTCTGGTTGGAGGCATAGGGGATTTCTGTAAGAAATTGATTTGCGCTTCACAAGTTGCTTAGTAGGAACGTAAAATAAGGTGTGCTGTATCTGATGCAGTTTTGCAGTGTTCACTCAGTTACCGAAATCTTCCTGTTTGAAGTCGTCAAATTTACTTCAGCAGAAGAGAGCGAAAACCATACTGCTTATTCCAAACACTTCTTAATAAGACGTTTGTTATTAAAAATGCCTGATCATATGAACTTCGTAGTGATTTCAGTGCTTTACTGAGATAAGCTGAAAAAAGCTGGTGAACTTGATCTAAAACATTATTTGTCAGGAAATAACCTGGAGCAGGAATCATCCTTTCAAAAAGTGGTAACCATATTTTTACTTGTAGGAATGGATTCCGTGAGGGAACCACACCGAAGCCCAAGAGAGCAGCTGTTGCAGCCTCCAGTTCATCATAAAGATTCATCCATTTGTTAAAATAAATGGTCTTACCCAGAAAAATCTGTCACCTTTTATACATGTTTTACTTCAGTGAAATGTAGGATTCCTGAAAATACATATATTTACACACACAGTTTCTTGATGGTATGCATTGAAACGATTCATTAAAAACAATCCTCTAATTGACTTTTTGATAGCACCTCGGCCTTGAAAAGGACCATTATCTCTGCACTGAACTTAAAAAGAGGCTTGTATGTGCTACTCAAAAGAACTCGCCTGCAAGGGAAATGGAATATTGGCCCTATGGACTTGCCCTGCTTGCCTCTGAGTTTCATTGTGCCCTAGCATGGAGAGTCAGGATTTGTCTCAAAGATAGCATGTAGAGCCAGTATTCAAGTTGCTGTTCTGGGAGGGAATAGTTAAAGAGGGATTCCCAGTCTTAGCCATTTTTCACTGCTCGGTGGTGCTGAAAGGCCTGCAAAAAGTATTGCTTATTCAGAGGGTCATTAGTTCTGGGCAAAAAGAAACTCCCAAGTCTGCAGCACACACACTGCCAGACACAAAGGGCATGGAGATCTGCTGTAGTTGAGACCGAAGTTGCCTGGACTGGTCTGGAGATGTCGGTGTGGAAAGCTGACACACAAGAAGATCTGAGTTAACTATGCTGGGCGTAAACAATAAATGGTAGTATGATACAGAAGTAAGTCACTTAGGGGTACATATGAATTATGGATTGGTGTGTGATGAATTTGTACTCTACGTGGTGTGTTACTGGGCTACTCGGCTGGCTTTCCAACTGGGCTTTAAAAAGTCCAGTTACTTTTTCCCCAATGACACAAGCAAACACCCACTAGATTATTGTGACACTGGAAAGGGGAGAGGTGGTCTTAACATGTCATGACATGCTCTGAAAGGAACGTGTTGGGAGAAGAAGGGCGTTAGTCACTTTTCCTCATGGATTTACATGAAAAAGGTTCATCGTTTGATGACAATGGTTTGAAGACCTCTCTTAAGAGTAAGTTACTTTCCTATACACAGCCTTAACTACAACACTAGATACTTAAACTTCTCTGCTTTATTAAAATCTGATTCAGAGCCCTAAATGAGAACCTTTGAGGTCTTGGCCATATGCTACAAATGTGGAGGCTTCTTTACTCAAATATCAAATAACTTGATTAAGTGACACTATTTGTCTTACTCAGAATGTGTATAAACTCCCCCACCTCAAGGGGCAGTTGCCATAGGCTGCATCTCTAAAAACATGTATATAAAGCAAGGTAAATTCCAACTTAAATAATTTTTCGGGGTATTTCATGAAGTAAACATGTTAAGCCAGCAGTCCTCAATACACATTGCGGGAAAGTTGGCAAAAATCTGCAATTTGTTTATGGAAACAGAGCCATATTTCTTGACTAATGGGGAGATCTAGTTCTAGTGCTTTCCAGAGAGCAGTGCTTGCTTAGTGTTGTTACATCTAGCGTGCCAACAAACTGGGGACTATGCTTTCTGATAAGGTATTTCATATGGAGGTAATAGAGATCTAGTATTTATGTATAGGGAAAAATGCTAGAGAACAAAGAACAGAATTTTCTAATTGCAGTAAAGCTGGGATAAATAATGCATTTAATCCTGTTTTTTTTTTTCTTACCTAATGATCCTCTAATGATATATATGCAAAATAACAATTAGCTGAACTTAGTATAGATCTTTGCCTATTTTACTGCTGCTGGTAAACTGTGGTATGTAAAGGGACCCGTGTAATACTGTGGTATGTAAAGGGACTGATGTACTGTCGTCATGGTGCAAGGTACAGTATGTTGCCTACTGTACCAGTAGATACCACTGCAACTGTTCCACGTGATCACTGTTGCAGTTGCTGCAATACTACTCTGAAGCAGCAAAATATTACCAGATAGGAGTTACAAAAAAGGAATTGAGGCTAAGATTTTTTGGATGGCACATCTTTAAGAACAGGACAGGTATTTGAAAGCACATCTTCTGAAATCCCTGATTATTACCCTGACTATTGCCACTTTCCCTCTTCCACCTATAATGAGTAAAGACCATAAAAGGAATAGAACACGAATGCATTAGCACACGAAAGCTCATACACTTTGCAACAGAGCAATGAACAAAAACTTATGAAAATCCATAAGCACCTTCTAGAAACTATGAAAAGGAGAACCCTGATGAAACAAAAGGGAATGGACCTGTTAAAGCAAGTTGCCTACTCGGTGATGCTCCAAGGAGAAATGGTGAATAAATAGAATCACAGAATCATAGAATCATTTAGGCTGGAAAAGACCCTTAAGATCAACTGTTAACCTAGCACTGCCAAGTCCACCACTAAACCATGTCCCTAAGCGCCTCATCTACATGTCTTTTAAATGCCTCCAGGGATGGTGACACAACCACTTTCCCCGGGCAGCCTGTTCCAATGCTTGATAACCCTTTCAGTGAAGAAATTTTTCCTAATGTCCAGTCTAAACCATCCCTGGCACAACTTGAGGCCATTTCCTCTCGCCCTATTGCTTGTCACTTGGAAGAAGAGACCAACCCCCACCTCGCTACAACCTCCTTTCAGGTACTTGTAGAGAATGATAAGGTCTCCCCTCAGCCTCCTTTTCTCTAGATAAACCAATCCCAGTTCCCTCAGCTGCTCCTCATAAGACGTGTTCTCCAGACCTTTCAGCAGCTTCGTTGCCCTTTTTTAGACACACTCCAGCACCTCAATGTCCTTCCTGTAGTGAGGGGCCCAAAACTGAACACAGTATTCGAGGTGTGGCCTCACCAGTGCTAAGTACAGGGGGATGATAACTTCTCTTGTCCTGCTGGCCACACTGTTTCTGATACACGCCAGGATGCCATTGGCCTTCTTGGCCACCTGGGCACACTGCCGGCTCATCTTCAGCTGACTGTCGACCAGCACCCCCAGGTCCTTTTCCTCTGGGCAGCTTTCCAGCCACCCTTCCCCAAGCCTGTAGCGTTGCATGGAGTTGTTGTGGCCGAAGTGCAGGACCCGGCACTTGGCCTTGGTGAACCTCATACAA